TCGGGGTGATGTCCAGAGGCCGAAAATTGATATCCAACGACATTTTGAAATCCAATATGGCAGCTTCCGGTTTGATAGAAGGTGGAAAATACTGTCAAATACCCATCAATATGGGTATTTTAGGAGTCGGGGTGATGTCCATAGGCCAAAAATTGATATCTGACACCATTTTTAAATCCAAGATGGCGGCTTCCGGTTTCATAAAAGTGGGAAATACTGTCAAATACCCATCAATATGGGTATTTTTGGAATCGGGGTGATGTCCAGAGGCCGAAAATTGATATCTGACACCATTTTGAAATCCAAGATGGCGGCTTCCGGTTTCATAAAAGTGGGAAATACTGTCAAATACCCATCAATATGGGTATTTTTGGAATCGGGGTGATGTCCAGAGGCCGGAAATTGATATCTGACACCATTTTTAAATCCAAGATGGCGGCTTCCGGTTTCATAAAAGTGGGAAATACTGTCAAATACCCATCAATAACTTTGCTTCGTTGGTATTAACAGTGGTGTTTTAATTTCAGAAATTCTGTTTGGGCTTATCAGCAGTAATCAATAAGAACAGTGTGTCAGAGCTACCATCTGTGGTGAGTTCAATAAAGGAAACATCGGTTTCACTAAGCAGTGCATTTGCTGAAATTTTTGGAGAGTAGCTACACCCAAACTACAACAACTGTGTCTGAGCTTGAGCAATCACTGCGGGACATTGACATGGCAGCCCGCAATGATCCCACCGACGACAGTTTCTGCGTTATCGACTACTGGAAAAAGGCAAGAGTCCAGCATCCCGAAATTTGGCCACTTGCCAAAGTTATTTACTCTGCTTCCGCAAGCCAGTGCATGGTAGAACGAGACTTCAGTGTATTTAACGGACTTTTCACAGCATCACGCACTAATATTTCTGAGAGCAATTTAAACAATTCGTTATTTGTTGCCCTCAATTCTGATCTGATAGATCAAGTACCACAAAAAAAACATGAATTAAAAACAAACTGACAAACAGCATCTTTTTATGTAACCACGTCCAATTTTTCAGAACACAATTTTAACAATAATTTTTTTTGTAGCCTTCTGATCAGATAAAAAAATTTTCACCAGAAAATGCGAATAAAGAAAAAAAATTTAAGTGCAATCATCCTCACATCATGCATCATTCTCACAAAATTGCAAATATAAATATATATGATAATGAAGTATTGCGGAAAATTCGTTTTTGTACTGAAAATACCCATCTCCAGGCTGATAAATGAAGTTTAATATCGATATTTAGTCCATTCACGTCATCCTTGTTCCGGAATTCCATATTCAAGGTATTTGATAGGTTTTCAAAAGCCGAAGGATACCATCTCAGACCTATACACGAGATTTAGGGGATCCTTTAAAAACAATAAATCTTTAGTCAAAAGACAAACGGTCGAATAGAAGAGGTGTTGTCCTACAAGATTACATGCGATATATTGTTTTTTAAACCTTTAGTCCAGCCCGTTTTTCAACTTTTACATTCTGTATTTCAAATTTACGTCCTATGATCTTTTGAACTATAACCCCATTCGACTTATTTTCGATTATTTATTTATTTATTTTATTTATTTATTATTATTATTATTTTATTTACTATTTTTTTTTATTTTTTTTTCTTTCTGTTCTTAGAACCATTTGACTAAAGTATTTGACATTTTTTGTGACCTGGATTTTAAATACCGATGGATATCGATTTTCGGCTTGTATACGTCGCTCACGTTCTGAAAATACCAATATTGTAGGGTATTTGCCACTCTTTCTAAACCCAATGAAAGACATATTTGATTTCAAAATGGCGTTGGATATCAACTTCTGGTCTCTGGGCATCACCCCGATTCCAAAAATACCCATATTGATGGGTATTTGACAGTATTTTCCACTTTTATGAAACCGGAAGCCGCCATCTTGGATTTCAAAATGGTGTCAGATATCAATTTCCGGCCTCTGGACATCATCCCGGTTCTAAAAATACCCATTTTTAGGAGTTCATATTTGATATCAAACATCCCTATTCTAAACATGAACTGCTCGGAGTACTCCGGATACTATCCGGAGGGAAAAATAATGGATAATATCCAAGTTAAAATTATCCGGATAATTTTAACTTGGATATTAACCGGAGGGAAAGAAATGTGGATAGGGATAGACTCCGTTTATTTCTATCCACTGGATACGTCTATCCGGATAATTATATTATCCATGCCTATCCGGATAATTTTGAAGCCTGTTCATTTCAAGAAAACCCTGCTAGATTGCTTTTTCTCAGTGGTAAAAATATGGTCAAATTGAAGCTGAAAGCATAAAGAATCGTTTGCATGCATTCAGCGAAGTGTTTTCGTAAGAAAATCCAGTGAAAATAGTGTTTCAATTTGGGTTGCCGAAAATAGTCTGTCATGCCGAAGCCGTCATTTCCCCTACTTGATTTACGTTTCATGAAAATCATGATTTACGTTTTTCGAATGTTAGTCGCGATGTCCAGCAACTAAATGTATTATCAATGATTGATTATTAAATAACAAACAATTCATTCTCAGATATGGTGGCTGTCGGACTTACTCGTTTCATTTTAGAAACAGCTCAGTTATTCATCACAAAAATTGAAAACTCGAAGGAGGGAGTCCTCCGAGAAAATTTACCTTATATTATTTTTTCATAAACTTACTGATTTTTATCCTTCAGTGTATTTTTTCCTAAAAATATTTAATTGACTACAACTTTTTCTTAAATGTCATTTTGATCAGATAAATCGTTGAAAAAAATTAATTCATTTTTGAATACGCCTTTTAAAAAAGTAACTGATGAGAAAACAAATCGTATCAAATGAAAAATGCAACATTGGAACTGAAATTTTTGCGTTTTGGGCTGGAAATGCTCAATAAAGAAATTTCAAGTGAATCTCATTTTATTTTAATTTATTTTGAAAAGAATTTTGTGAAGGGTAATGATTTTGTAGATAATTCATGAGAGCATTCCAAAGAAATTCTATGACGAGTTGTATGAGATTTTAAGTACATGGAATTTTTTTGCATAAATTTAAAAAAAAACAATAAACAATTCATAAAAATATAAAATTTAAATGTATATGGCTCAACCGAGAATAATGGGCATTTGCTGGCGTAAACTTGCAGTATTAGCGTATGCAGTTTGACAAAAGTTTCAATTTCGGTAAAATGACTCACTTGACCTAGCCAACTCGGCATGATCAAGTTCTTCCCAATCGTCCATCATAAAATAAATTGTAGCCTCACCCTATTTCGAAACCTGGCTACGCCCTGTTGATGATAATAGTTAAACGATCACACACACACTATAAGATGATCGCAATAATCCAATCATTCTTCTTAACACAAATTGACAGTAACTACTTGCCGGTTGATACAAATCTATTCCACGAAAATTTACTCAACCCACAAGAATAGCACCAAACTACAAAAGTGATGACAAATTAGGCAGTTTTACGACACTTGCCTGTGTTGTCATCTTCGTGCAACGGAGCGGAATAATTTCATCCCAATTAATTTATTGCACGCTCTCTAGTTCACCGACCGCACACACATGCACACACACGCACTCACTTGCACTCATTCTGTACGTATGTAGCAACAAATGACAGGGCACCCGCCGCCAAAGGTGTGCCCCGTGGTTCGCTGACGTCCATTTCGACCGATTCCAAACGGCCAAGGCTGACGTGAATTGCAATTTTGGAACTATGATTACACCTAACATCCTACCCACGTTCGGAGAAGAGATCATTTCACTAATTAAGAATAACCTATTTGTTGGTTTTCCCCGGCTTAGTTTGGCGGGCTATTTCGGGTGGGTTATGACCGAATAGTTCAAACATGGGCTAAAAATAAGGGTATCGATTCATCATAGATCCGGCACGTAATGAATCACACTTCACGTACCGGCACCGCGGTGGGTCGTAAAATCTCCACCGAATAGGTCAAACATTCTCCGCCCTCACAACAAACAACAAGTAGTTTGGTATAAACAGGCCATTAGAGAAGCTAACCGGATTGCAACTCTGGAACGCTATGGGCGTTGCTCTTGATTGTTTGGATGTTTTCGATTGTATACACGAAATCATGGGAGGAATTTCTGTTTTGTAAACTACGTTAGGAAATTGCATTTGGCAATACGTGATAATGATGCAATTTCGGATTTTTGTTAGTGATTGTGTTTCAACTGAATCCGGAATCGGTTTTTAATCTTGTGCTTGACTTGGAATGAATTTCGGACTATCATTATTCACTGGACAAATTTTACCAAGACTGTCAGTGTGTGCGTGTGTGTGTTTACAATCTAACTACCACTGTATGGCAGTGGCATTATGGATAAAATCTGCCTGCAATCATGTCTTATGAATGCAAGTCAAGGAGTTAGAAGGTGACAGCTCTACCTTTGATTCCAAGAACGCAAGCATTCCTAAGGTATTTTCACACCCGTAAGTCCGTTCCATTACAAAAGATTTCAATCAAGTACTAGAATTGTCGCATATTTAGTAGTTTTAAAATTATCGTCTTAATTTAGATGGATAAATCCTATTTAATAAAGAGGGACGGAAAGGTAAATAAACTGTGAAGTAATGAAATTGGGTTGTTAGCGGAATGCTTAAATAAAACAGCAATAAATGTTATCTTCCATTTACTTCCACTTAATTAAAAATGAAACTGTGATCTTGACTGTTTTACCTAGGAGATGAGTACTTAAGGGGGTTAGATTTTGATAAGTTCTTTAGTAGGAATGACACTGATAACACTGCACATTGTAGTCGAAATACGTATCTGTCATAGATACCAAAAATAATTAAGTGGAATTAAATGGAAGATAACCCCTTTTTTGCTGTTTTATATAAATAAACTGTGCTAAACATGATCCCAAAAGTTACAGAAAGTCTTCAAATAAAACATTCATTCGATTTTTCGGTACTAAATTAAAATTAACAATTCGTTTTATTTTTTTTCTATTTTCAGATATTCTGATGATCGAAGGACCAGCAAAATCCTGTAGCTGGAACTTGAATCAATACTGTTTTGTTTTTATGTGGAAGAATCAATAATCACCGTTAAGTTGAAAGGAAGTTGTTCGTGGATGCATAGAAAATCCACTCCAGATGAGTGAATAATATTTTGAAAACGAAACGGAAAATAAAAAAATAGCAATCAATAAGTTGTGTGCAGTGTGTCTGTGTGTATGTTCGTGTAGCACGTGCCCCCCGTGCCAGAAGAAACCATGAAGAAAAGAGTGGACATGCGACACTGTAGGTCAACGAAAAAGTTCAAATTAATACTAAAGATCCGCGCTAACCGTTATCGAGAGGCACCTTAGAAAGGGCAATCGTCGGACCCCCCCATCACTCCAAGTCCAAGACCGATAGGGTGACAGTGACTTAACTTCCTACTACGAGCTCTCGACGCGAAGGAGTTTGGTCAGGTTTGGCCCTTCCTTAAGAAGCGGTTGGTGCTTAGGACCTAGGCAGCAACCCCAAAGCCCGAACGCCGGACGCGATGTACTTGCGCAAATGGAGTCCCATTAAATATCTCATGTACTTATGGCTAGCGATTCTAGTGTGGATATTCTGTTGGTGTGAGAGTGCCGCCACGATGCACCTGGCGCCAGCCTCCTCCTCTTCCTCCTTTTCCCCATTCTCGTTGTCATACGCCAGTGGCACTAGCAGTAGTAGAACTAGTAGCAGCAGCAGCAGCAGCAGCAGTAGTAGTGGTAGTAGTAGCAGTGATAGTTTTAGTGCTAGTAGAAATAGTATATCAGAGCTGTTTGCCAACAGAAATCACTACCGGGTGCCGGCAGCGAGTCCTAGAGGTGATACTAGTGAATTAGTGGACTCCACGAGTCCTTACCAATGGCGATCCACACCAGAATCAACCATCTCAACTCAACGGCAAGAGGCCGTTCCACACCTTACCAAATTCATCAGCCAAGCTGCCAGTTTCGATCGCCGACGGTCGCCGCCTGTTCAAGTGGCCACTGCGTCGAGCTATCATCATCCAATTAACTACGCTAACCGTATGCTTCTAGAAAACGCCAATAAACGCTCGATAGAACAACAACAGCAGCAGCAACTGCCGAATCTGCCAGCTAGCCTAAGTCAATCCACTTCAAACCATGATAGTCGCCAAGTTAAGAACAGCAACTACGTCAACAGTAGTAGTATTAGTAATACGAGTATTAGTGCCGAAAGCGCCACCCCAGCAGAGAAGCGATTACAGCAGCAATGGAAGCTGCGAATGAGCCAAAAGCGGGCACGTCGACTGGCCCATCGACAGCACCTGTCCGAGCAACCTGAAGCGATCGCATTGGCCGCAACCAATCGCAATCGACGAGACTCGGCACGTCTTTCGATGGCAGGTGGATCCCAGCAGAACCCCCGGCGTACCGGTGGCGTTGCAGGCCCCGGTCAAACTCGCCGCTACTGCTCGGCGCGGGATCCGGCCACCCTGGCATTCGATGCCCCCGTAGTCTTCGAGGGCAAAGTCAAATCCATGAGCAGCGATCGACGCTCCAACTTTTCCGTGACGTTCGAAATCGTCAGGGTTCACAAGAAACACACCAAGTACCCGCTGGAGATGTTCCAGCAAGTGCGGTTGCAGTTTTCCTTCCGCAACTACAGCGAGTGCGACATCTATCGGGAAACGTACCGGGAGCGGGGAATTGTGCGCGAAGAACTCGAACAGGGCAAAGTGTACTTTCTGTTTGTGAAGCAGATCGATCTCAGCAACTTTACCATCCTCGGACAGCCGATCCGGAAGACCAGACGTACCGCCAACGGGGTACTGGAGGGGGTTAAGGACACATATGGTGAGTAGCGGTTGATTATGCTTTTTTTTGCGGGATAGTACGAGGGACCTCCCTTAGCTCAGTCGGTAAAGGCGCAGCTACAAAGCTAGACCATGCTGGAAGCGGCTGGGTTCGATTCCCGGTCCGGTCTAGGAATTTTTCGGGTTGGAAAATTTCTCGACTTCCCTGGGCATAGAAGTATGATTGGACTTGTCGCACAATTATACCAATGCAAAAATGGTACAAGCATCGAAAGCTCTCAATTAATAACTGTGGAAGTGCATCTAGAACACTAAGTTGAGAGCACGCAATAAACTAATATGCGATATGCAATGCGAAGAAGAAGAAAGAAGTACGAGGGAATGTTTGGTAGATTAATTAGAATTCGTAGGGTTAATCGGGGTAAGTCCTCGGTCTACCGTCAAAACATAAAGCATTTTAATAAAACAGCAAAAAAGGGTTATCTTCCATTTAATTCCGCATAAATAATTTTGGTATCCATGACAGATACGTATTTCGACTACAATGTGCAGTCTTCATCAGTGTCATTCCCACTAAAAACTTATCAAAAACCTAGCCCCCTTAAGTACTTATCCCCTAGTTAAAAATGTCAAGATCACAGGAATTTTTCTTTTGGTAGTTCAATTCATATATTTAAAGGCAAAACTACAAGGGACAGCCCTATGGGGTTGTACGCAATGGTGACGAAGGACTACGTGGTCTTATATAAAAAATCTATTTTTTTAACTGCGACAGGAGCTTGTGTTTTGTGTAGGAATAGGAATTTGAGCGGGGCTCTCTCTGTTTATACTCTACTCTTCTTCCTTCTTCTATGGATGCTCATGTGGGCCGCAGCTCGCTGCTTGCAGGCAGCCTTTCGTTGTGTACTGGAGAACACCATCACTCACCACGCGGTGATTGAATAAACATCGTTTGGTGTGACCGGATTTGATTCAACTTTGAAATCTGTGTTAGGAAAATCGCTTTTCGCAGGCAATTGGTGATAATTTCAATTATCATAGCAACAGTTGCACATTCGTGCAATTTTCAATGGTGACATTTTGAAAAATTATAAAATCTTAAATTTAACAGATGCGTAGCCATATTTCTGATCGATTGGTGGTAAATTTATTGGAATTGGTCCAGGGGCAGCTGAGTTCAGGCCCGGATTTGGGGGGGGGGGCAAAGGGAGCAAATGCCCCGGCTAGGGGAGCCCCCCGGCCGCAGAAGCCGGGCAGATATTTTCTGTATTTATAAAATTATCATATTTTTATGCTAAAACAAATTATTTTTTTACTTTCTCGTTTTACGTTCAACATTAAGGTTCTTTAAGTTCAGTTCATAATTAATTTTATTTAATAATATTGGACGTACCTACATTGAACATCACTACTTTCGAATGAACCGTCTAAGTGATGGCATTGCAATGAACTTGAATGAAAAATGTACATCTGCGCCACCTCTCTATGTACCTCATTGATTAGGTTGAACACGAAATGAATACAAATGAACATGCTCTACGGCTTTTAGACAAAGTGTGAGCAAGAGCCAGATCAATGGGAAAATATTAAATCCATTCATCCTCGTGTGCTAGTGAAAGAAGGTTAATCGTCAGAAATCTCTTTACATGCAAAAAGAAATCAGCTCTCAAAATCAAAACAAAGCATCGCAAGGGTTGGTTTAATTGCAAGCTAATTATTTTCCTGTGATTAAGTGTACTCGAAATAGTCTTTCAAAGAACTGCTTTTTACAACCACTCATAAGAAGGAAACATGAAAACGTAAGTTTAATTTGCGTCATCCAGAGAATCTGGTTTATTGTTTTTAACGGAATAATATTATTATTTCAGCTGTTTTTCAATAATGCCTCGAATCATTCAGCCATCTGGTGCTCAGAAGAGGACAGCTTCGAAGCAGAAGGCAGAGAAAGATGCAGCAGTGCTGCCTAAAACTCCTCGTCTCTCGAAGTTTTTCAGTAGTGAATCAAAAACTGAAAAAGATCCCGTTGTTCCTACTTCGCCAGATAAACCAGCTGAAACACCTAAACAAGGTTTAGAATCTTCTGATGTGGTTGCTGCCTTTCCAAAGTGTACTGAAAATGCTGATCAAATTGAAGCTGGGTCTTCGAAAACATATGATGGAACAATGTCCAGCGATCCTTTTACCTGGTTCCCAATCACAGAAAACCGTGTTTCTTTATTGGCTAAATTTGCAGTGAACCAAAATAAAAAGGAATCTGACTCGTTCCCGGAATCTCAACGCTGCTGTCAACCGACCGATGGTTGTACTGGCAGTATTAATCGTTTTTTCAAAAACTCGATGTTTTACACCAAACACGACAACGGAGAACAGCGTTTGAGGAAATGGCTCATCTACAGTTTATCAAAAGGTATGATTTTGCCATTTTTTATCAATAATTCATCACTGGCTCATCAGATTCCGTTTACTGCTTCTACTGCACACTCATGACAGCAAACCGCGATGCGTTTTCCAGAGAAGAAGGTTTCAATAATTGGAAGAAATCGGAGGAAAAAATAAAAACACATGAGCAAGGTCAGCCACATCGAGAAGCGGTACTGAAGTACAATTTGCGATGTTCAGAATCGAGTCACGTAGATAAGGAACTGGAAGCTCAGGTAAAAGAAAAACGGTTGTACTGGCGAGAAATTCTGCGTTGTACTATTGCTGTCATTATCTTTTTGGCAGAGAGAGGTCTAGCGTTCAGAGGAAGTGACGAGATCATTGGCTCCAAACACAATGGCAACTTTTTGGGAATAATGGAACTCATTGCTCAATCTGGTCCGCTTTTGATGAGACACTTAAAGATTTTTGGGAATCCTGGAAGTGGTCGGGAATCGTATTTATCATCCACTGTTTATGAATAAATGTTGCTACTAATGGCAAAGAAGGTTCAAAGTTTCATCATAATGGAACTGAAAGCATCCAAATACTTTTCTGTATCAGTGGACTCAACACCAGATCTTACTCATACTGATCAGCTCACAGTAATCTTGCGATAGGTTGTTTCTGGCAGGCCAGTGGAAAGATTCTTGACTTTCTTACAGCCCAACTCTCATAAAGCAGGTGACCTATCATACACTTTGCTAGAATTTCTTAAAAATCAAGGAATTAATTTCGATGACTGTCGTGGACAGTCATATGACAACGCGTCTAACATGGCTGGTCGTTGAACCTAGTAGGTCATGCGGCTGTCTCTAGCTGTGTAGAAGCTGGTAGTTACTTCAGCTTCATTTAAAAACTGTATACATTGCTTTCTACATCTACCTGGCGATGGAATATTTTAAACGAATTTTTGAAAGGCAATGAAAGGAAATTAACGGTTAAATCTCTCTCCGATACTCGTTGTTCAGCACGTGTCGATGGAACTGAAGCTCTACTTGAAGGATATGGAAGCATTAGGAAGGCGTTGAGACATATTGAAGCTGCGAATGACCAATCTCCTGCAACAAGATATGAATCGCGTTCACTAGCTGATAGAATGGATCTCCTCGAAACTGCTTTGATAACCAAGACCTGGTGTCGCATTCTGTTGCGATTTAACGAGACAAGCAAAGCAATGCAGGGCATCGATGTCGATTTGAAGAAGGTGTTTGATTTGTATGATTCACTGGATTCATTTTTGCAAGGAGAGCGAAACCGTTTTGACGAAGTAGATGGTGAAGCCTTTGTGACACTGCGAAATACAGACCCACCAAAGGAAGACCACGGAAAAATCAACCCGAAACATCCAGTACATGCAAAGAGAACTTCAAGCGTCTTACATTTGATGTCATACTGAATCAACTTTCACAAGCATTACAAAAAAGGCGAGCAGCATATCAAGTGGTTCGCGATAGGTTCAAGGGCATTGTTGATCTGTGCAGTCTGTCGGAAGCAGAACTACGGTTTGAAGCTGAAAAGTTTGTTGGCATGTATCCGCATGATCTGACAAGGCTACTTAATGATGAAATCGTACAGTTTGCAGCATTTGCCAAGATTAGGGCATGTCTAACAGCATTTGCAAAGGCTATACTGCTGAAGGATGAAGAGTTAGATGATACGTTTCCGAGCAAATTAGCTTTGATAAAAAGCAAATGGAGGACATCAATTGCTGACGAAAGACTCAGCTCTCTTTGTTTGCTGAACATCGAAAGCGATGTTCGAAAGACAATCGATTTTGAAGAATTTATTAAAGATTTTTCAGAAGCTAGATGTAGACGTCAGTGCTTCACATAAGTTTCGTAATCCTTTTAATGATCTGTATTATTTTATGTACATTGAAACAAAGAGAATTAACGCAACTTCAAGCAACTGTTACATTTTTTTAACTCAGAAAGGTTTTTTTTTTTTTTTTTTTCCTTTGGTTTGTTTTTTCCGTCGATCTTGTTTTCCGTGCTGAGCACCAATGCTACCGACGTGCCAGGAAGGCAGCTCCCACACCTGGACCCTACCTATCGACCCAACAACTCATGAACCGGGGACCAACGGCTTTACTTCCCATCCGAAGGAAGGCGTGATCAGAGATGTTATGCCTCAGAACATCCCGGCGGCGCCGACTGGGATTGAACCCAGGCCTGCTGGGGTGAGAGGTAATCACGCTTACCACTACACCACCAGCGCCGTTACAGAAAGGTTTTGGAGGCACCGTATCTTTTATCAATTAACTTCTAATTGTTTAATACTAATTAAACCCGTACATTTGAAATTAAATCTTCGAAAACAGTTAACATTGCCCCCCTCCGCCCAAAGATATTTGCCTCAGGCCCCCCGAGTCCTAAATCCGGCACTGACTGAGTTATTAACGTTTAAAATCATTCATAATTTTGTTACATGTTCCAATTTCGGTTTCCACAAAGTGTACGCCCATATAGAAATCATAAACGTAGTCCTACGTCAAAATGTTCGTTTATTCTTTTGGTTTGCCAAATCTGAACTGCCGTGCCTTCCGTTTAACCATTAAATTTTGCACATCGACCTTATTTGCCACCGAACGCCAGTTAGATTTAAACTGCTGCTCGTTTT